ATACCAAAGGGTATTCTCTCATCCCTCATCTCTTTCTGGCCCTGACTAGAAATCTACTAGAAGTGAACCTAGATCCAGATCCCATCATTTTGTTCCCATTATTTTGGTCTGCCACATTCTTAATCAAGTCAGCGTTTATTTGAAGCTAACCATAATTTTTATTGTGGAGGGTAGGATGAAATTGACTTTGGTATATTCATTGGACAGGTTCTTAACTCAAAGAAACAGAGTGGTGCAGACTCTCCAATTATATTGTTATTGGAACTCGGCCCCTGTATCGAAATTGTCCATGGAGGTTCCATTTAGTATACTTAAGAATGAACAGTCAGATTCCAGTTAGATCCCCCAGATTAGCAGAAGAGAATCAGACACAGGAATGAGTGAGGAAAAGGCTTAAGAAAAATATAGAAAAAGGAAAAAAAAAAGAATGCACATGAAATAGTTTGGCAGAATATCTTACATAATATTAAAATACACAACAGAAAGAATATAGCGAGTATGAATTTATCGCACATAACAGAATACAAGGTAAAATATAAATATACACATAACTCAATATAGTGAATATAAACCTAAAGATATACATATCAAGTTTTACCATTATTTACTTTTTTCCTAGTAATGCCATTCTCAAAGAACTGCCACATAAGGAAAGTGATAATGAGGTGCACACCTTGCAATGACCATCGACAAATACCAGATTAGGACGATTTGGCAAGCCAGTGACTCTAGAACTGACATATGCACTGTACCAGTCGGTAACCGTGTGAAAAAGATTTGCATACTCAAAACGTGTCACTAGAAGTGTTGGTTCTTCAATCCACTGTAAACAAAAGTAACAGTTATATCAATTAAGGAAGTAAGATGTAGCTGAACAAAGATATAGTAACTTAACCAAATGACTTCCTGAATATGCAGTAGTATGAATGTATAAGTTAGTGCACCTTGTATAATAATAATGCATGAAATTCATCGCTTCCCTGAGATCTCTATGATTATTCATACATCAACAATCATAATACAATTGTTCAAGCACAAGAACCATATGAAACTTCCATCTTCTAAACTTTGGTGGAGAATATGGTGCTGTCGATTGGTTTGATTGCCCGAAACAAGCATTCATTTACTGGGAAACAATATCTTACTGCTTTGTATGATCTCATTCCAAAGAATGAGATGACATGGCAGAGTTATTCATCAACAGTAGGAGCTCACAGATAAGGTTTGCTACTTTATTTTCCCTAATTGCATTAAGAGTGATTTTGGAATGTTGCAAAGTAGAATTTCTCAGATGCGATATTGATTTCACACTTTGGCTTCATAAAATTGAATCAGACATGTCAAACCAAACTCTGATAACTCAAACAATAAATAATTTTGATGTAAACAAGTTCACTTGGCGAGTTCAGGATTAGCATCGTCCAATCTGACTTCAAGTATACTTTCATATTCTTTTGAAAGTATTCTCGTTGTAACTTTTAGTTGTTATTTTATGGTGTTGCTGTAGTCTTGAGTCATCTTGGCATTATAAATACCTATGCTAGGCATAGTTAAATCTGGAAAGTTTTCAAGTGATTAGGATTTGGATTTGAGGAGTTCTAGAAGTTTGTTTAGAGAAGATTTTGTAGAATAATGATTTTTCCAAGAAAGAAGGTTCTTCCTTCTTGTCTTAATTTGTTTAAAAGCTCCAAGTTTATAAATTTGAGTCAAACAATTAACAAAATCTGTAATTATTTTTTTGTAATAAATGTTAATTATTTAAATTTGTTGGATGGCCTAATCTCTTCTTTGTCTCTTTCCTTGTATTCAAAACTTGTATAATCTCTATGTATCATAATTTTTTCTGATTTTAATCAGATTCTCTTTTATCTAACCTGAGCCCAAGACTAACACTACTAGTCATCCATGCATCATATACCGTCAGTTTGATATCACATTGAATCATGTTCTACTTTTCATATTCTTACCTCCTAAATTCTCCATTCCTTCCCTTGAAACTCTTCTCATATTGGTGGCCAAACTAAATTCAACAGTCATCTTACCATCAGATAAATCGTTTGTTGCATCAGAACAGATGTAGTGCATTTGAAGTCAAACATAGCCACTCTATTACTTAAGTAATAGTCTCAACCCAGGCCTATTATTACTGGAGCCCTAATCCCATCCAAACTCTCTATGATTTCTCAACAATGCAGTTTGAACAAAGCCAGAGATGACCTACTTCAAAAAGATGTCTCTTAAGAATCATAGAATATAAGATTCTGAAACGTTAAGTTTGTAAATGTTCTAAAAAAAGACTAGGGTGATAAGAGGACAGTCATGCCATATGAGGCACTCTAGGCAGGTATGTTCTCGTTTCAATTATTAGCCATTTCGTTATACTCACTACCATTTGTTTTTGGTAGCATTTTTATATCTGAAAAGCCTATAGTCTTAGTCTTACAACCAAAACAAAAACAGGAAACAAAGAGTGCCTGGAACAAGGAATTATGTGAAATGATGAGTCAGAGCAGCAGGTCGACACCGTAAGTCTTACTCTTCTATTGATAAGCCCTCATCTATAGTAAGGTATTAATACCAATCTTCACATTAATTTATGAACATTTATGGAGAAGCTAAACATTCCAATTACTCTTCTTTAACTGAACAAAACGTCCAAGGTTTGCAGTATCAACCCATACCGCTCGATACTAGTGGTAAGTATCGGTCCGACAATATTGCTCGATATGTGGACCATCCTCTATCGGGCGGTACCATAACCTGATCCCGTATCGGGCAATACAGAGTTTGTACCGATCGATAGTGGTCAAAATCTGACCGTTATCGATCAAGGGCTGAGATCGTCCTATTTCAAACGGCAAAATTGACCGTTTGAACCATAGGAAAAGGTTTTTAAACCCTTTCCTCCACCCTCCTTCAACTCATATCACTCTCTCAATCTCTTCAACTCCCTCAAATTCATTTTCACTTACATCTAATAATTCAAATCATTTCTTTGTAGATAATTCAACGTTAACATAAGGATGGTTCAAAATGTACAACGAAGCTACATAAGGAAGACCAAACTCGAAAAAAATACGTGTCACTATTATTTCCTAATTTAGATTGTTATTATCAAAATTATACTAAATTTATATTTATTTTCGACTTAAAAACCATAATCTTTTTTTTCCAGATGTTTTTAAAGTTATTTTTTAATTTTTGGGCATACCAAGAATACCGTCGGTACGTGTCGATACATAACGTACCGACCATTGGTCGATATATCAATATGAACTGAAATTGTAAACTTTAAATACGTTATCTTAAAACAGATACATGAACCCAAGATGGTACACCCTAGTATACCACATACCGTACAGACCAATGGTCGGAAGTATTGAAATTACAAACCTTGAATAGATCATCTTAGAACACATACATGAACCCAAATATCTTACCTGCGTGCAATCCAATTGTTCATGGCCGACCACCCGCATGGACTCCATGAGCGCCCGCATCGTGTGGTACTGCACCGCACCATGCGGCAGGTACTTGTCCAGGAACCCCTCGTCTATGGCCCTCTTTCCATCCCCGCCGCCGTCGCCACCTTCGCTGTCGATCTGGAACGCCCCAGGCTGGTACCTGGGGAGCTCCTCCTCCTCTCCTCGCCCGATCACGGCGTCCAACCCCTCCCCACCGTCAGCCATTAGGATCCGCGCGGGATCCATCCGAATCCGACCGCCCTCGCAGACGGAGCTCCTCAGGGTCTCACTGTAGTGGCACCGGAACCATCCCCTGCCATTGACATCGGAGGGGGAAGAGCGGAGGACGTCGACGCTGCGGGAGAAGCCATGGCCGAAGTAGGCCTCGCAGGATCGGAGGGGCGGGGCGGGGGAGGGCCTCCAAGGGAGAAAGGAGGGGAGCGACGGCCATGATTTGAGGGTGGATCGGGCGTTCTTGTGGGGGATCGCTAGGGTTTCGAGGGGTAGGAAGGGGTCGGCGGCGGTTGGGCTCCGGTTAGGCGGGTGGAGGAGGAAGTAGACGGCGAAGGAGGCGGCATTGAGGGCGAAGAGGAAAAGGACGGTGCGCGCCAGCAGCCCTCGCCGCCGCCGACTCATCTCTCAACTCGGAATGAGACAGGACGCGAGTCCCGAGACTCAGAAGAAACACATCACGAGAGGTCATGCTTCACAAGAGAAAACCCTTCTCCACGTCCGTTAGTTACCCCGCACAGTGGCCGTAAGGTGGGGCCCTTCGTCGCTTCTCACAGGGTAGAACGGCATACTCGCAGAACCCTTCTACACGTCCGTTAGTTACCCGGCACAGTGGCCGTAAGGTGGGGCCCTTAGTCGCCTTTCACAGGAGTAGAACGGTATCCGCGTAGGTACCGTCCGTCTCGGGGAAACAGTATAAGAAATCATCGAACGGGAGTCGCCAACCACGTCACCGATCGAGTCATATCGTTGACCATGGTAGCAGACTCGACGTGGCCATGCGCGTGGGCCCGTGAGGTGCCACGTCAGCCGGGAGAGTTTCTCGGGTGATTTGGTCTGGCCTGGAAACGGTGTTCTTGACCACAGAAAAGCAGAGGTTACTTTGATTTGATGGATTAATATTAATCCTCTTCTTTAAACAATTGATTAGCCAATAAACGGGTGTTTATCCCGAAAAAGAAATGATGACATGAAACGATAAGCATGCAACGTACGAAACCAGCAGCCTGACGCTTCCTCTCTCTCTATCTATCTATCCGGTAGGAACGGTTTGACGTGGTGGTCTCTCGGGCGCAGGGATGCGTGAGTGGCTCGCAGGCTGCCCATTATCCCCTCCGGCCGATGAATCCTCGAGCTGTGGCTGCCCTCCTTCGGATGATCCCAACCACAGCTCAATACCCACCCAGAGACGTATTTATCCTTCTAAGGACTTCTCCGCCGCAGGAATCCTCTTATCCGCCACGTCGGGGAGAGCTCGGATTGGGACCCAGCTGACGCTGCCCTGCTTCGTACCACCCCCCATTCTGTGCCCTCCCTTCATATACAAGGCTAGGCTTTTCCTCTGGCCTCACCTTCTCCTGCAAATCCGGAGGTGGACGAAGGGTACGCGCACAGACACTCTCTCTCTCTCTATCTATCTGTCTATGGTAATCCACACACAACACACACAGAAGAGGAATTCTTTTGGAACTCCACAAGTCTGTGTTTGGTTTTAGCTTTAATTTTCATTTCTGCATCTCACCGTATTAAGCTGTTGTTTTAACTGGTAAACTGGTTCTCTTAATCATATCAAATTCATGTCATCTTGGTGAGAGCCGATGCTGTACTGCAAAAAGCATTTTACTGCGGCCAAATCTTGTTTAGAACTTCTGTTGAAGGGTTCACCATGGGTAAATCATTTTCCTTGTTCACTTCTTGAGTATTGGCTACATAACTTCAGTGTATTGGCCTTTGGCTAATAAGTATATTCTCACTAGTTCAACATTGCTTGGTTTAGGTTAGAACTTGGAAAACACTGATGCAGTTGAAGTTTGGATGAGATTAGACCTAATATTAATTCCTTCAACCATGATTAAATCCAGCAGAGCAGTCTTGAGTGAGGCATTTTCGACTTATAATTCAACCTTATGTTGATGACTGATTAGTAGTAGGCTAATCTGGTTCAAGATTCTTGATTTGGATGAGTTGGAGGTTCCAATCATTTCTTACTCGAAATACAACCTAATGGAATCATAATAGCATAGATTCATTTATGTAGACAAAACAGAGTCACTGATATCAGCTGTAGACTTTAGACAACCCACCACCTCTACGTATACCTTCTCATACTAAGATAGCTTATCTTGGATGGAGCTGATAGTATCATTTCCTAAATCTCAAATCTAAGGGATTTAGTTATCTGTTTTGGCTTGATGAGTGTGGATTGAGTCCAGCTTAATTTCTTAATCTGTCACAGATGTTTGCAGCATATATTTCTCTTGTTTGTGCATGATGTGAATATCAAAGCTAAATGTTAGTACAATAGTTAATATTTGTAAAAAATTGAATGACGAAATGAATTTAAGGTTGTGAAAATAAATTTCTTTATCCAGAAAAAAAATCTTTGTTGCTTCATGGAGTCTGATATTGATGTTGTTGCAAAGTTATGTATTCCTTTGTCCACATATGTCATTTGGTATTAGTTATATGTTCTATTGTCTACATGCAAAAATATATAGACTAGTAAACAGCAAGCATATCGACATTAATATAACTTTTATATGTGATAAGCTCATCAATGAAGTAGGAAAATCTTTTCATGTCTATCAGTAGGTTCATACTTGGAGGAATCTTTTTCCGTCTTGATTGATGAATTTCTCGTTAAGTTGTGATTGTCCTAGATACCTGAGCTTCATTTCATAACTCACATCTACTGCAGTTCTTATAAAAATGGTTAATTTTATCAAAAAGTTAATGGAAGAGGAAAAAAGTTACACAAATGAAAACTTTCTCTAAAAGCAATTCTTGGTTCATTTGTTTCTTTCCACTGGATACTATGACTCAACTTCTGTAAGTAAATTGGTAAGAGAACATACCCTAGAACATTGTCTTTCTCTTAATGAAATCAAAAGCCCAAGAAAAAGAGAAAAGAAGCTTCTTTTTGTTAACTTGTTCTTCATAATCTTTGTCCTATATTCTTCTGTGATGCCCTTGCATAATTAAAATTTGTTGCTTGCTCTTCTTTTCTTGCATCACTAGAACAGACATTGCACTTGGTGAACTGAAGCATAAGAAATGAGAAAGAGCTAAATATGCTTCATTTTCTCTTTTAGGTGGGCTTTGTTGAGTAGAGCCATTCAGGAAGTTTTGCCAAAAGGAAAAATGGACTTCTTCTATGCACCTGGGAGGAACCATCTCTTTGTTCCAGGGCCTGTCAATATCCCCGAGCCAGTGATAAGGGCAATGAATAGGAACAATGAGGACTATCGCTCCCCTGCTGTGCCTGCACTAACAAAGACACTTCTTGAGGACGTTAAGAAGATCTTCAAGACGACAAGTGGTACCCCCTTCTTGATACCAACAACAGGTATAGTTTTCTTCTCTGTTCTATGTCTAAGAAAGACATGTTTCATGAGATTTGCTACATGATATATGGTTTGCTTTATTTGTTAAGTGCTATTGGCCAATTGTTGTAGGTAGGCAAAACTATCTTCGAAGATCATTACCATGATTATATCCTACTTGTATTCAACTCTAGCATAGTTATTTTGTCCATAAATTTTGACTTCAGTTTCATTTTTGTGGTCTTCTTTTTGATCTGGGGTGAAATTCACTGTATAAAGCTTCTTCTGATAACTGTTCTTTGACTAGGTACTGGGGCTTGGGAAAGTGCACTTACAAATACACTATCACCTGGTGATAAGATTGTGTCTTTTCTCATCGGTCAATTTAGTCTTCTCTGGATTGATCAACAACAACGCCTCAACTTCAATGTCGATGTAATAGAAAGTGAGTGGGGACGAGGTGCCGATCTTGATGCATTGGCATCTAAACTAGCAGCTGATTGGTCTCATTCAATCAAGGCTGTTTGCATTGTTCACAATGAGACAGCAACTGGAGTCACCAATAATCTGGCAACTGTGAGGAAACTGCTCGGTATGTATAAGAATTTTCGTCAGATTAATTCTCCGATTATTGATTTTCATTACATATACTTTCCGATGTCCTATCTTTCCATATATGCCTTGGATGCTACCTTTTTTTCTCACAAGTTGGAGTTTTCTCACATTCTTCTAACGTGTTTGTTTTTATCATTTTGTCCAATTTGTGATCATATTGTTTCTTTCTTTGATGGTCTATATTATGCTGATGCTATAGCTTTGCCTTTGCAGATGAGCACAATCATCCTGCATTATTACTTGTGGATGGAGTTTCATCTATATGTGCTATTGACTTCCGCATGGATGAATGGGGAGTTGATGTTGCTTTGACAGGATCACAAAAAGCTCTTTCGATGCCTACTGGCATGGGAATTGTATGTGCTAGTCCTAAAGCACTTGAAGCTGCTAAGTCAGCCAAATCAGTAAGGGTTTTCTTTGACTGGAATGACTACTTGAAGTTCTATAAAATGGGAACTTATTGGCCCTACACACCTTCCATCCAACTTCTGTATGGGTTCAGAGCTGCTTTGGATCTTTTATTTGAGGAAGGCCTTGACAATGTGATCGCAAGGCACAGCCGACTTGGAAAAGCAACAAGGTATACAAATAGTTGCAGTTGATGTATTATTCCTCAAGATTTTTTCTCTGTCAACTGTAATACCTTCAGTCTTTGTGTTTGTGGGAAACACTAGAAAACCAAAAGAATTGTTCAATTCAGTAATTTAACTCTTGGTAGTTGCTGCATTCTTAAACTATAATTGCAAATTTTCATTCTTTTGAAAATGCAGGCTTGCTGTAGAGGCTTGGGGCTTGAAGAACTGTACACAGAAGGAGGAATGGTTTAGTGATACTGTCACTGCTGTGATGGTTCCACCTCATATTAACAGTTCTGATGTTGTGAAGAGAGCGTGGACACGATACAATCTGAGCTTAGGGCTTGGTCTTAATAAAGTGGCAGGAAAGGTGTTCAGGATAGGGCATCTTGGCAACCTTAATGATGTATGGCTTCCTTTCTTCCCTTTTTTATTTAGTAATATTGCTTCTCTTCTAACTAGAATCTTGTATATGTGTCTGAATTTATGAAACATGAGGCAATTGTTTTCTTTCTAACATTTGTTGGAGGTAGATCTAGACTTAAACTAGGAAAATTAATGAATTTTCCTTATTTTGTTCCATTCTAATCTTTGGGTTTGTACTGAATTCGTAGTTTACTTTAGCAGTTTCATAACTACATAGTTCACTATCTTATGGTTGAAGAATTTACATATATATTTTTTCAATTGTTATGTGCTAAAGAAACAGCAAGTTCATCAATTTTCGCCTCCCCTGAATATTCTGCAGCCACCAATTTACGAATATGAATATAATCATTTCTGGCATGTATGCATTTTTATCTCCATTTCTCACAAATGTTCGCAAGACATTCAATAAAACTGTGTTTTTCTGATATCGGATTCTGAAAGGTACATTTTTCATTAAATTTCCTAGGTGACTCTTGCATTTGCATTGCTGCTAACTATTCCACTGTGAGTTAAGTAAGTTAATTGAGTTATGGCCTAAACCGACACTTGAGATCTAGGCTTCAGATCAGTTTTACCTGTCATTCACTTTATCAATGGTTAGCTTCGCTGCTCGTGTCAAACTTGCTCCTACATCTTTATTTCTGATTGAAATATCTTGTGTTAGTTATCTTCAAGTGAACTAAACTGAGTGTTATTCATTGTAATAGTTCATATGTCAATTAGAAGTGAGCTATGATCAATCAAAAGATAAGGTTAGGTGCAATCATGATACTTGATATCATTCTTGTACTTTATGGACTTGAAAATTCATCTAACAGTTTCAGATGCTAAAGGAGACTATCTTTACACTAAACTGATGGTTTATTTGGATGATTTAGGGTTCAAAATGTTGCATGGAAGTTGTGAACTAAAATAGTTCTCTTTAGCATATAACATCATGTCTAGGCTGAGAATTTCTTTAGCCATGTAATTGTGTTAGACTAATGATGCCTCAAGGTCCATCATTAATGTGCTACATTATATCATATCATATGATAGCTGTTAGTTTGGAATTGCAGATTACTTTACAGCTAAACCATAGTTACTGATTATATCAGGTAGGATTGAATAGTTAGCTGCTGAATTTATAAAGTTGAACTAAAGAGAGTGAGTGTGAATAATTTGAAAACTATGTTAGAATTGGTATGCAAATAGGTGATCTAAATAACATTATATTGTGTATCTTGTTACTATCTGCTTCATCATAAGCATAAGGGTTGTGGTGTTTGCATGTTGCTGTGAACTAGATATTGTAGCATGTCATTCATTTTATCAGGGGGATGTCAATAATATGCTAAAGTTAGTATCTAAGGCAAATTGAATCCCGACTAACATCTGTTATTCTGTGATGAAAACTAAAAAATATTGTTTTATCACATGCTGCAGGTCAATGCCACTAATTTGCATGAAGTAATTGTTTATTCCAATTATAACTAGTTCAAGCATCTTGCAAAGATTATGTAGTTCAGAGCAAGGAATCAAGGTCAAGTATCCAAGAAAAAAATGAGTGGGAAGGCAAAGTAGCCTATACGGTTGATCCATTACTAAAAATTGGATGATTCGAAAGGGAAGAGTAAGATAAAGAGGAAAACTCACACAAAAGATTCTGCTAAAAGAATTCACCAAAAAAAACCAATAATTATTATTAGTAGAAAATATGATGGATTTAGTTGATTAAAAATAATGCTAAGATAAAAATTCATGTACTTTTACTGGCAACAAAATCTTATTATTGGGACAGATTGCATTGTCCTCTAAAATCCACCATTTAATGATCTTGCGCATAGATTGTTTTCCATTGTAGTTTTCCCTACTCTGTTGCATTGCTTTCATGTGAACTTGTATACACTTTCATGGGTAGAACAGTTTCATACCAGAAGTTTGTGCTCTATAGGTAGGTAATGCAGCCAGTTGTTACTGTGTTTTGCTGACCATCCTCTTTTCGAGTTTTGCAGTTGCAATTGCTTGGTTGCTTGAGTGGTGTGGAAATGGTACTCAGAGATGTAGGATACCAAGTGAAGCTGGGAAGTGGAGTGGCTGCAGCTGCTGCTTACCTTCAGAACACCATCCCTATGATCTCTTCTCGGATATAACAACACCTTATCAATTTGGTCCCATGCCTGAACCAAGAAGCAACCAGAACAATTAGTGCTCTCTTTGGAGTCTCAGCCCTAAATGTATATTGGTAGATACATGATCCCTGTATTCCTTTGACTTTGCATAACAGTAAATCATCTGTTTACCATATTTAATTTTGCTTCCTCATCAATTTTATGATGCATGAGTTCATAGTTGCTCAAGGACCCTTTTTACCAGAGTTACTTGATCTCTCAGAGATCTTTGTTCTAATACAGGTAATCCAAAGCCATAATTGTGGTGATTAACTATTTCTAGGTTGTAATTGTTTTAAAGGATTCAATGATGCTCCATTAAAGTATGTTTACATTTGAAGCATCAATCAGTGATCTTATTGTATATTAAACCTTCAGTTGTATTCAATAAAAATAGATGCATGCCATGTTCCCTCATCCATTAGTCTGATGTGAGTTGAGGATTTATATTTGACCCTCAAAACAATGATTCAGGGTTGAGGATTTGCATTGAGTCCCATGTGAAATTATTTTGGCTGAAGGCCTGCATCATCTTGAAAGAGATACCATTGGCATGTTCTGTAGTCACATGAATCCTTTGTTTCTGTGGTCACAGTGATGATGATTTAAGATCCACACTCAACCTCATGGCTCCATGGATTTTGTTCTTTTCTACAGGAAATCCTGAGTCACACAGATCTATGTATTGGGTAACATGAAGTCATGGACTCATTTGCTCCATAGACAAACAGTGATTTCTCCTAGGAAGAAATCCCTTGAGTTGGTACTCATCCAACATTCTACAAACATTAAATGAAACTTCATCATGACAAATCTAGAACATGTATGTCTAAATATTGAGGAGCAACACAATTGTTCTTGATGAAACCTCTGATGAAAAAATTGATTTCTTTGGATTGAAAAGATGGTGAAAAAGATAGAATTAAACCACTGACAATTAAATCTTCTCATGATTTCTATTTTATTTTTTCTGTTTCTTTTACCTTGTTACTGAATCTTGAACCTTCTCTGCAGCAGAACAGTTCTCAGAGCCTTAAATTATGACATGAATAGAATGATCCACACCCTGTCCTTGTCTCATTCATTCAGTCTTGTAAACTACAAGATCTAAACAACAAGATGTTGCTGCTGCGCACAAATATGGATCCCACAACTATATGTGACTAAGCTTACTAAAACTCATTTGTAGTGCTCAAGATTCATCTGTTCTGGAACCAATCTCTCCCCGGAAGTGGCCTTCACGTTCTCTCCACACCTCTCCTCTTCGTTTTCAATGCAGAAAACACCCACCTTTCTTACATCCTTTCCTCTTCCACCAATTCAACTTCTCTCGATTAGTCTCTGTTTGTTCTTGCATTTGCCGTGCTGGCGCTTCTCGGCTGCTGACTTCCGTCTGTTCTGAGCCCAAATCTAATCTAAGCTTTCGTATTTTATTGCTTATCACGCAGGAAATCTTTCAAGTTGCCAGCATTTTGTGTCTCCGTTCTCTTATCCTTTCTTTTCTGGGTCTCTCATTTGCGTTTGTGAGAGAGTCTTCGTTTGTGTTCCTCAACATTAGTGGTTGGGTTGATACCTTTCCCTCTGTTTCTGCTCTGTTTTTTGTGTTCGTATTCTTTTTCTGGCTCTGTTGTCCATGAGCTGGGGGCGCCATGTCGTTGGTCACGGGAGCTCTCTCCAGCTCTAAGATGTTGGGTTTGGAGGACAGCGGAGAGATTGCTGAGAAAGGAGCGATCTTGATGGGGAAGGAGGGAGAAGAGGAGCAGAAGAGGGTAAACGGCCATGACAGTGAGGAAGCCGGAGAGGAGGAGAGGCTCAACAGGCAGATGAGCGAGATGTCTCTTTATGGAACTGAGGAGGAGGAGGAGGAGGATGAAGAGGGGAAAGGTGCCAAAGGGATCGAGTTGGGTCCTCGGGTCAGCCTCAAGACCGAGATAGAGAAGGACAAGGTCTGCCTCCATTCTTCTTCCCCTGCTTTGCTTCCATCTGCTAACTCATCAGGCCTTCCTCTCTCGCTATGGCCGTGAAGTATGGGTTATTCTTACTGTCATCTTCTTGAATCGCTTTCGGGTGCAGGACGACGACAGCCTGAGGAGGTGGAAGGAGCAGCTTTTGGGAAGCGTCGATTTGAATTCTGTGGGAGGTAAGCACACTTCCTTTGCTTTTGTTTTATGGTGTTCCCTATAGTTGTTCCAAAGTGCCTCTTTTCTTACTCAAATTTAGTGCCTCTTCTTTTTCTCCAATCTTTCTATTTCTTGCAGAGGAATTGATGGTTTGAGATCTTTCTCAAAATCAACTGTCTTTTGAGCTGTGCATGTCTGTCACATTCTTTCTTCCACTACATATACCTTTAAGCTTCCATAAGATTCAGAAAATGATACATATTTTGATGACTGAGAATAAAATTATTTTTCTTGTTCTTTTTGGCATTCAAAGTTGTCTTTATATGTTGAGTTTCCTCTCTACTACTGAAGTTTTGAGATATGCAACCTGCATTGTTCCTTCTTTTTACTTTGGCTGGCATGGTGTTCCTTCATCTCAGTTTATCGATTTGTTCTTCCTAGAAAACTTGGAGCCAGAAGTTAAGATCCTGAGCCTTTCCATCCTTTCTCCCGGTCGACCTGACATTGTCCTGCCACTTCCTGTTGTCCCTAATTCCAAAGGTGTGTGGTTTACTCTGAAGGAAGGTAGCCATTACAGACTCAAATTCGCCTTTGCCGTCAGCAACAACATTGTCTCTGGCTTGAGATACACAAACACAGTTTGGAAGACTGGTGTTAAGGGTGAGCTTAATGTCTAACTACTGAACTCTTCTTGGAATTGAAATCTTGATTCTAAAAGCTTTCTCCAAACAATTTGGTATCCATGACTTCCATTTTCTGATACAGTGGAAAGAACAAAAGAAATGCTTGGTACCTTCAGTCCTCAGCCGGAGCCTTACACATATGAGACTCCAGAAGAGACAACCCCATCTGGTCTCTTTGCCAGAGGATCATATTCTGCAAGAACTAAGGTATCTGAGCCTTTTAGATCTTTGGTGTATTCTTCACTGTAGCAGAGCATTTTGATATAGTCTCAAATGGTTTATGTGTTTTTTTGAATGTAATTAGTTGCTAATTCTTGATCTATGATGGAAATGTAATGTTGGATATCAAAAAAGTCATGTCAACTGGAAACAAAATGGTAGCCTCTGGATTTCCACCTTTTCTTGAAAGAAGAGAAAACAAAAGCCATGTCAGTGCCATTTTGGCAACTTCATTGATGCTCATGTCTACTATATGGGCACATCAGACCCATATAGGGGTGGTAGATCACCATGGAGGATGAACTGACAATAGATGCACAAAGTGCCATAGCAAGGATTCAAAAGGAGTCTGAATACACACCACCAAGCTTACCGGTGGGTGTTTAACTGTATTTAGATGACCAATATATTGGATAAGTAGTAGAAATATTGAATTGTATGAAGTTATATATCACTAGAAATCATCAGGACATGTTGGATCGCTGTCGCGACAGACCGAATTGTTCTTCAAAAAATTTGTTGAAGTTTCAGAGAAAGGTGCTGACTCTTTTGTTAAGCTGTTCAATTACTACACTCTTCTTCTAGAATTAGAAGTAATTCTAATTCTATTTTTTGTTTCTTTTAAGTAGAAACACTAAATTGTGTTGTAATCGTGGACATTTTGATCGAGTTGCTTAAGCTGAACACTGAGACTGCAGTTTGCTTACTAAGAACTGAACCTTCCTGTATCAGTTTGTCGATGATGATGGCAAGTGCTACTTGGAGATCAATTACAGCTTTGACATACGTAGGGAATGGCCATCAACTGGATGAGAATGCTACTTCAGCAGCTTTGAACAAAAATCTGAGAAAATTACAGAAAGAAAAGGCTAAATAATTCATGAGGGAGAATTATCCATCAGTGTGCTTAGTGTACTCTTCTTTATCCTCGTCTTCTGTGATCTCTTGTTTCATTTCCAATGCCAATGTGCAATTCCATTGCATCTGAAGGAACCCATTCCATTGTTTCAACATCATTTCCTTTCTGTGAGATTCAATCATCTGTATATTATTATTAGTTAATTGGTTTCTTCAGTGTGTTGATACATGCATACCAGTTTTCTGTAGTGTTAGCCATCTTGGTTGGTTCTCATTAATTAAGTGCCTCTCTTTCATTTATTTTATGATGATGATGACATTGTGGGTATATATCATCAGGAGGGATCACTTATTTCATAATGAAGATTTTGATATCTAAAGACTCAGAATTCATTCACCTCTCTTTTTCCTAATTAAGCTGCAATTTATTGCACCACTTGTTGGAGGTTGTCATCTTATATATACCGTTTAAGGATTTCACAAAGCACCCAAATTTGGCTTATTTGCCAAAATATATGAATATTAAGTGTTAGAATTTAATATAAATTGATTTCTATTTTAACTTTTTGGGATTAAGGATTACTTGGTCACAATCTTCATTATGATTTTGAAATAAATTTAAGCTTGAATCTTGTATTAGTCTCTCCCCTTTAGTTAATATACGCCATATATTTATAATTCTCTTTTCCTCTCTCACTTTACCCGTCATCACTTGTTGAACATAATATTTTAACACTCGAATTAATTAGCACATCATTACACAAATGATAGATTTGAATTTCAACTCCATGTATAAATGTATGTTATTTAATGTAATAAAAAATAATTTTTATATCTTTTGAAAAAAAAATAGTGCGCATGTATTCCCTCAACTCAATTAAGCGAAATAAGAGGTATAAATGTACAGTATTAATTTAAGAAAAAATAATTACATATCATCTCTTATAATTAGTTATCTTTAGTATTTAAATCTCTATATTTTTAAAAGTTATATTCGAATCTTTATACTTATAAAATTAAAATATTTAATTTTATTTCTCCTTACGTCGTTGTCTCTGTTGATAGAAATATCACATGTGCTCAATAATAAACCCGATAATTTTTCAATCAATAGAGTTGATAGTATAGGAAATAATGAGATTAAATTTTTTACTTCCATAAGTATAAGGATTTTAATATAACTTTAAAAAATACAACAATAGAAACATTAAATATAACTAATTATAAGGGATAACTTTTAATTAAAAATCATTTATTAATTCAACAAGTGTATGTGGCATCTAAAAAACAAAATGAAGGATGCTGAGCAATCGTGGGCCATGTGAAGAACTCCTCGTTGACCGTGCAACCGACTATTTTGCAGTCATAGTAAAACGATATATTTGCACTCATCGTCCAATAGTTGCATTAAACTAAAGCAAATCCAATTAAAGCTTCTCTGACATCATGTGGCCTTCAGCTATTGTGTCTGACACCATCTGCCCAATCAGGTCTGAATTCAGACGCCGTGAGAATTATTTATGGAGTGAGAGGTGAGTCATATAGTAATTTAGGATTTCTCCGTTAGAACAGTGGAATTCTTTCTAACGGAGAGTCGCCTATATATATATATATATATATGGTTCCGCTGCCTAAAGCTCAGCGCTCACAACAAGTTATTAGAAAGATAAGGGGTGTAGATATGGTCATTAAGGAAGAGCGAGTCCTTCACATGGTTGGAGGAGGTGGGGAAACCAGCTACGCCGCTAATTCCAGACATCAAGTTAGTCGTCTCCCTCGAAGTAGTATTATTAGTTGAATCTTCGGTTTACTACGTTGCTTTGTGTGCAGGAGAAAGCGATTTATCGAACAAAGCCCATATTGGAGACCGCCATAGCAGAGATGTACAGGAGGACGCCGCTCCCCGAGAGGATGGTCGTCGTCGACCTCGGTTGTTCGTGGGGTCCGAACACCTTTCTTGTGGTCTCTGAGGTGCTTGGCATCGTCGGTGACCTATGTCGAAGGCTGGAGCAGAAGCCACCGGAGATCCAGTTCTTCTTGAACGACCTCCCGGGAAATGACTTCAATAATGTCTTCCGGTCTTTGGAAAGATATGAGAAGAAGATGGAGGAGGAGAAGGGGGACCAGCTCGTGCCTCATTACGTTGTGGGCGTTCCCGGTTCCTTCTACGGGAGGCTTTTCCCGTGTAACACTGTGCACTTCTTCCACTCTAACTTCTCTCTCATGTGGCTCTCTCAGGTCGATCACTACTGTGCTTTCTCATGTCATGCATGCGGTGTTGCACTGAGTTGATGTTGTACTACTGATCATGAACTATGTGTCATAGGTTCCACAAGGTCTCGAGAGTGAGCAGGGTGTTCCGGTGAACAAGGGCAACATCTATATTGCGGAGAACAGTCCACCCCAAGTCGTGAAAGCATACCAAGAACAACACCGGAGAGACTTCTCCACGTTCCTCAAATCTCGTTACGTAGAACTAAGCATCGGAGGGGGAATGGTATTAACATTCCTAGGAAGAAGAAACAAACACCCGGCCAACGACGAGCTAAGCTATCTTTATGGATTACTAGCAGAGGCCCTTAACACAATGGTCTCACAGGTACCTCAAATCTTCACCTTACGGAGTAGTGAGAACATTGTATTACTTGCGTCGTAAGGAAGGTTAAAGAAGAGAAGTGACCCGAGTTATTGTTTATTGAGTTCAGGGAATCATATCAGAAGACAAAGTGGACACCTTCAATTTGCCAATTTATGGAGCTTCGATGCAGGAAGCGAAGTCAGTGATAGAGGAAGAAGGTTCATTTGATGTGGAGAAAGCGGAGAGTTTCGAGTCCAGTTGGGATCCGTTTGATGACTCCGACAATGTACTCAATGGGAAGAATGTGGCAAGCACTTTACAGGCAGTGATGGAGCCCTTGATTTCACATCATTTTGGGGATGCCACGCCCCATGCATTATTCTCACTGGTTGCCGATAATATTACTGCAAGGCACCTCCTAAAAGACAAATGCTACTACACCGTGTTAGTCTTTGCCTTGAGGAGGAAAGCTTGAAGGCCTGCATGCATTACAAGGATAATTCGCTGTCTAGATATAAGAACACGATATGTTGATACTTATTTGTATGTCTCCTCCTCAATCAAAAGATATCTGACTCGATTTAGATCGGTCGAATAGAAGTGAGCCTTCGAATCAGTTTTACTTACTACGATTGCAGAATGAAAACAAATTGGCTTAAAGAACAGTAATAGTTTGTCGTCATGTCACCGCGGACACGGACATTCGAGATTGGGCGCTCGCAGTTGGCATGATGGCTTGGCCCATCGACTTGTACTCATCGAAACCACTACAAGTCATGAGATGGAAGGTGAGAGTATCATTCTCAAACATTTATTTAGAAAGTAATCGAAAAAACCTTGAAGGCATCAAACCAAGTGGAAGAATTTTTTTTTAATGTGAAAAATGTCGAGCAAGTACAAGAGGAAGAAGTCCTTCACATGGTTGGAGGGGCTGGGGAAACCAGCTATGCCTCCAATTCTAAGTTTCAGGTGGTTCCTCTTGAACTGTTTGCATGAACTTAAAAGCTTATACTTACGTAGCATTCACCATATCCGATCATGGTTTGCTGACTGCGTCACAGGAGAAGGCACTTCTCATGACGAAGCCAGTGCTGGACGATGCAATAGGAGGGGTTTACAAGTCGCTACACCCTGCGAAGATGGTGGTCGCCGACTTAGGTTGCTCCTCGGGCTCCAACACTTTCGTGGTGATGTCCGAGGTGCTCGACGTCGTCGGCGACCTACGACGAAGTCTGCAGGAACGTCAGGAGCCACCGGAGATCCAGTTCTTCTTAAATGACCTTCCGGGGAACGACTTCAATCACGTTTTCCGGTGTCTGGGCGAGTACAAGAGGAAGGTCGAGCAAGAGAAGGGGAATCTGCTGGTGCCCTACTACGTGGTGGGAGTGCCGGGCTCCTTCTACGGCAGGCTTTTCCCACGTCGGAGCGTCCACTTCTTCCACTGTTCTGGATCTCTCAACTGGCTCTCTCAGGTTGACCTCCTCTTAAACGGTAGTATACAAAGCAGTCGATACTACTGTCTGATAGCTCATTCTAGCTATCCTGAAACGTCAGGTTCCTCAAGGACTCGACACCGAACGGGGTGCTTCACTCAACAACACGAACATCTACATTACAGAGACAAGCCCACCGGAGGTTGTGAAAGCATATCAACGACAATTCCAAAGAGACCTTTCAGAATTTCTCAGGTGTCGGTATGCAGAACTCAGCTACGAAGGCAGACTGGTGATTTCATTTGGAGGCAGGAAAAGTAATTGCCCGACCTACGGACAGATGAGACACCTCTGGGGACTCTTAGCTGAGGCCCTGAATGCCTTGGTGTTAGAGGTAAGAAGTAACATCGATTGATGACATCGTGACAACTGATTCATCGAGTTATTTACGTATCAAATCCAGGGAATGATAGAGGAGGACAAACTGGTAACCTTCAATCTGCCACGTTATGCGCCTTCCATGGAAGAAGTGAAGGCAGTGATCCATGGTGATGGTCTGTTCGATGTAGAAGAAGCACAAGTTTTCGAGGCTAATTGGGACGCGTTCGACGACTCAGACGATGATTCTGCTGCATTCGACAGTGATCTAAGCGGCAAAAACGTGTCAAAATACGTAAGAGCAGCGGTGCAACCATTGATTTCGGAGCAATTCGGCGACGCCATTCTCGATGAGCTGTTCGCTAGATATGCAGCAAATGTTTCGAGGCACCTCCTTCAGCAGAAAACTAAGCATAGCGTGTTTGTCATTTCCTTGAAGAAAAAGAATGAAAGCCATCTCACTGCTGGTTGATGGACGGACTTGCAATGTGCGTTCGACTCCATACTATTATGTTGCACTGTATACATCGAAACCTAAGTCTTAGATTTAGTTGCTTGTGTTCTTTATGCTTCTTACTAGTGTTTTTTAACAAGGTTATTAAGCCATCAACCCTTATACTTCTATTACACAACTAGGAAAGTGAAAAATGAGGGAGTAATCAATTATGGTTCGGGATGGATATTATATTGAAAATTTTG